TGTTCTGTCATTAGAGACATTGGATTGACTCTGATTTAGTCATATTCTATTGAAACCAAAAAGGGACATTACCAATTTACATTACATTGATTCCAATTGGCCCATTATAAGTTGAACACAATTTGGTAACAAATAATTACAGTTAGTTCTAAGTATGGCTAAATCTGTAATCAATCTAGTAAATTTACATTTTTGTATAAGTCTTATATTTATATTCTGTATAAATTTAAATTTCTAAGTCTTTGACATTAGGCCTAGACTTTTTTCTAGACTAGACTATGCAATTCATAGTTGTTGTTTTTAAAATGAAGAGAAATGAGACAGGAAATATTTACAATAGAACATGATTCTTTCAGAGAGAGGAAGATTATTTTTAATAGAAGTAAAAAGTATTGAATATCTTGCTGGCAAGTGATGGAGGAGAGTAGTCAATTCTCAGAATTTAAAATGAAGTGACTCCTGCCTCAGAAGCTAATACAAAAAGATGTAACCCTGTTCTTCTTCTGCATGCTCCACATAATTTGCAATTCAGTCTTATAATTTGACAGTATTTAACCACATAAGAAAGCTCTGCCTATTCACACATACATTCACTTCTTCACCTTTATGTAATACTAGCTTGGATTCCGGGCATTGCCTGGGTTATTTGAAAAAGTCAATTCTTAATTGTACAAACTGGATAAGGTTGTGGGTGAACTACAACTCCCATCATGGCAGGTTAACCCTGAGAAACTCCATCCATACTTAAAGTTTGTTATGTTGGGCAAGTCTGCTTTAGATGCATCATCGGTGGGGTTCAGTGTGCTCTCTGGATGTAGAGTAAACTACAACTCCCACTATGTTGAGTCATTCTCCTCAAACCCCTCCAGTAGGTTGAGTTAGTCATGGGGGTTCTGTGTGCCAAGTGTGAGCCAGGTCTATCATTAGTGGAGGTCACAGTTTTTCTGGTTGTGGGTGAATTAAAACTCCCAGAAAAGAAAGCCAGTTTCAATCAAACCTCTCCAGTAATCAAATTCTAGCTTATCTGGTCTATGTGCCAAGTTTGGTCCAGATCCATCGGTGTTTGGGTTCACAGTGCTCTGGATGTAGGTGAATTACAACTCCTCCAAATCAAGGTGAATTTTCCCCAAAGACCTCCAGTATTTTTTGCTGGTCATGGGGGCTCTGTGTTCCAAGTTAGTTCCAGGGCCATTGGTGGAGTTCAGATTGCTCTTAGATTGCAGATGAACTATAAATCCCAGTGCCTACAACTCCTATAAATCATGGTGAATTCTGCCCAAATCTCTCTAGTATGTTCAGTTGTTGATCAATTCCCCTGTTTGCTGTGTGCCATTGAAAATAATAGGAAAGGGTTAAGGGAGAGGCAGTGGGCAGGTTCATGCAAATGCCACACTAATGGAAAGAGTAAGAAATACTGAAATGTCTGTAGTGGAGGAAACACATAAAATCTTGAATGGAACTGTCCCTATACGAAAACCTTCACTTGGGTCGTGGGCAGTATTGTGTTTGTGGAGGACACTGGCAGGGCTCTTATACATGTTCATAGCACTCACTATAACCTGTAATGTCATTGGAAAGAGGGCCATTGGTGTCTCCTGAGTAGTCAGAGCTATAGCTGTTTATGGAGGCAGGAACTTGTCTGTATAAGTAAACACTCCAGTCACATAAAAACATACATATTTTCACTTTTATTACGTGTGTAGATAGATAGATAGATAGATAGATAGATAGATAGATAGATATAGTATACTGATATCATTTGTTTTTTTTTATTGTGTAACTGCATTTTATCACCTTTAACTACTTTTATACTGCCCTGTCTGATATCTGAAGACTGTGGTGACCTACATCCAATCACTAGAAGAGACCCAGTGGAGTAATGAAAACTACATAATTTATCATATTGCAATTGGGACAAGCAACAGAATTGAAGTTAATATAGTTTGTACACATACATAAATTTTATATTATAAAATCTATAAAGTAAAAAATATATACTTTATACATATGCAGCACTAAAATATTCTATAAATTTTCTGGGTTCACAAACACCATTTACCAGGACCGACGGGTATTTTCTACATATATAAAAATAAGCTGGCCAAACAACTTGAAAAGACACTAACCGGACTTGCTGATATAACAGTCCCAGCTCTGCCACCAGCCCTTTCTGTCATATATTGTTTTATTCAGATACAAACAATGCATATATTCCTGCAGTCAGGAATCAACCCTGACATAATATGCCAAGCCTGTCACCACAATACACATTTACTGCAGTTAACTAATTTATCCCAAACAAGCATCATTTCTGCCATATCTGCAGTTTTAGCTTGAAATATGGAAGCAAGGAAAACAATTTTAAAAGGGAACATAAAATTGGGGTAGCTATTAGCAAGATTACAAAGCTACAAGTTTACAGAACCCTTGAAGGAGGTTTGCTCTCAAAAATAATTTTTAAAACACATAACAAAGACATTCTACCACCTTACCACATTTCCCAGACCTAATTTGCGCAATTATGCATCTTATCATATAATTCAAAGAAATAGCTGTTAGTCTGGATCAGTATGCAAAGAGATATTATAGGAGATTTAAGACTAACTGAAGGTGCATCTGCACTGTAGAACTGATGCATTTTATGGTACTTTAACATGGTTCAATGCTGTGGATCCCTGGGGTTTGTAGTTTGACACTCCTTTGAGACACTAGCAATCTTCAGAAGACAATGCAAAATACCTTATAAAGCAACAACTCCCAAGTTTCCACAGAATTAATATGGTAATTAAAGTACTGTAGTGTCAAACATCATCATTTCTACAGACCTGATGCACTCTGAGAGAAAGAAATATGTAGCAGAAGTTTTCATAGATTGAGTCTACTTCATCAGATGCATGGAGTAAAGTGCCTATGGACAAACATTTATATCCATGAATAGGGTGTTTGTGTGAATAGCAATAGAAATGAAAATTTGATGAGGTGACAATTTTATTTCAGGATGACAGTTGTCGGATAAAGTTGGGTGTTTGTAAAAGATTAATCCTGGTTGATTTTCTTTTACTTCATATATGGCAGATACTGTAGTTGAAGGAATGTCCAAACAAACAGAACAGGAATGCCAAACTCATGGAATTACAGCAAGCATTCCTCAAATGTTGAATGTTTTTATATTGTGTAAATGCTATTTTAGATTGTAACTCGCGCAGAGCACCTTGGGTGGAGAGCGACTAATTAAGAAATAAAGTGAAGTGAAGTGAAATAGAATACCCACCATAAAAAGGCAAGACTTGTACCCAGGACTAATCTATTGCAAAAAAGACCAAACACATGAAATGGGAGAACCTCACAAGTGGTCATATAGAGCTTCTAGTTAAGACCACTCATACGAACCATCTATGAACTACACGCTATTCTGGACAATAACGCTGTCCTCTTAAGGGCTCTTAGTAGCAGACCTTTACTTGCCCACAGATAACTTTCCAATCTCAAACAGCTATTTACCTACAGGAGTATACACAACCTAGATGGGGAGACAGGTACAAGACCTTGCCACAAAGTGGTGTCAAACTCTACCAATCCTACAGTGTCAACCTAAGAAAAAAAATGTCTAACAAAAGCTTTTGTAGATTGAATCTATTTTATCAAGACCTTGCCACAAATCAACACACCAAATCTCCCAACACATCTACTCAAAAACACATAATCAGAGGACCTAATCACTTAACCCACAACATTACAGYTAATTTGACTACCATAATATTCCCATTCTCTGTACATAATGCCCATCAGCATTCTAATAATAATAATAATAATAATAARAATAATAATAARAATAATAATAAACTTTATTTATACCCCGCTACCATCTCCCCATYGGACTCGGTGCGGCTTACATGAGGCTGAACCCACAATACTAGATTATAGTGTATTGATTTCCTGTTTTGCCCTTTTGTAAACTGTTTTTATATGTTGTGCACCGCCGCGAGTCGCCCTAGGGCTGAGAGCGGCGGTCAATAAATGCAGTAAATAAATAAATAAATAAATAAATAAATACAACAATACAAGRAATACAAGCAATAAAATACAATGCAAAGCAATTGAAATAAATCTCATACACAAAAAGCATAAACATTAAACAGAATACAGTGCACATTTAAAATCTATGGCTGGGCCAAATGTAATTAAAGTTTAAAAAATAATGCTAGGCATGAACAAGATACAGGAGGTGGGGCGTTGATAGAGACTTTGGGCAAATGGGTCATTCTCTGTGCCAGAGTGCAAATGGACATAAATAACACATTGGGATTGGAAAAACCCAAAAACCAATTGCAGAACACTTCATCTCAGACTTTAGAACAGTTCTTGAACAGAAAAATGTCAAAGAGAGATTAGAACAAGAAGCTGAAGAATTGAGACATATCCACAAATTTCAGTCCATTAACTGTGGATTGATCAGAGACACTGGTGTGCTGACACAATACACTTGTTATTACCCCAGCCTCATGAGGACCCACTTGAAAGAGTTTATCACATATTTCTGGTTCCCAGCTAGGATCATACTGCATTCCAAGAACTCCATCCACCATTCATATGGTTATGTACTCATCTGGCCTTTAGGCATTCTTTCTTCCCAACTTTGTTTCAGAGTAAACCTTAAAACTGAACTTGCCACTTCACCACCTTATCCACACATTGTTGTATTTCTCTTACTATTCTCACAAACATTTTTACATAAGCACTTCACTCCATATATCTGATTAAATACTCAATCCATGCTCACTTATTCTATAAAATCTTAAAATATGCCTTTGCATATGTCCCTTATGTATAGGATAAAATCATGTTATTAAATGGACATAATTATTATTAATTAATTATTATTAAGCAATCATGCTTATGTCATCAGATTTTTATTTTTTGTTAGCCACACATTAATCTTGCAGTTAGGAAAAGCCAGCAAACAAAGAAGAGAGAATACAAATTTGATAGGATATATTTACCAGTCATACTGCTGTCTCTGTTCAGTCCATTATGAAGCTTACAATGAACAAATGCTGCATCAAATAGCCATGATCCAAAGAGGTTCAATATGCTGTTAACCTTTGGCCTGTGTGGAGCAGGGAGAGGTCGAGGCTCAGAACAGGTCTGATTTGGGCTGGATAATGGAGAAGAGGAGGATGGCTGGTGTTGCACTTTGGAAGCATGGCCAGTGCTAGCCTGTGTGAGTAAGGAGAAAAATTACCACCTGATGATAACAAAAAATAAGTATTGTATTTAATTGCATTAGGTAATGTAGATATCATCAGTATTATATTAAAATTCTATTGTTTACTAAGCATAGAGGCTTACTGTGCTGTTTTTCATTGTTCCCTTATTCACAGTTACAGCACGATGCCTTCGGTTGTGAGGTGGTGTTGTGTTGACAGCAGTAGTTTGTGGCATGCTCAGTCTATTTACTGGTGTGGGTGGAGCACTATCTGCTCGAGGCCTTGAAATACCTGAAAAAAATATATGGAGTACCTCAGCATCAAGCCCCTTTCAGACCCCAATGCATTGTGGATATTTGAACAAGATATTCACAAAGCCATTTCCCCCATACCAGCACCAGTGTTAAAAAAATCTTGCTTCAGAATTAGTTTTCTATTAAGATTGGAAAGTGATAAAGGAAAGCATTCAAAGTAACTACATATAAGATTACTTGTTACCTTTGAAAGGTGAGCAAAATGCATATTTGAATCTGAAAAATGGGGAGAGTAAGGGAAACATCACAAGAATTTTGAAAATATTTTCTCTTAATCATATTAATACCCGTTTTTCCATTCACTTTGATGTAGCAAATATAGGCTTCAGTCAAGATACATACTCAGTTCAAGACTTGGAAAAACATGCTAAAGGCATTGATAATCCTAACGTAAGCTAAGAAAAACATAGCATTGATTACATTAGCTGATACTGTACATGTGGAAAAAATACTGAAAGGAGGTAGATGAAAGTGCTGAACCCTTGCAGATGCGTGTGTCAAAGCAGTGGCATCCCCCATCAGAGTGAAAAGGAGAGAGGAGCAATGAGATGCAAACTACATTACATGATGTCTCTGTTATATAACTTGTTTATAAGCCTCTTATTAATAAAAATGGCCAGTCAACCGCTTCTGCCTTACAAATACATAAGCAGAAGCATTGCAACTGCTGCCTTGAAGTCAAAAGCAGGCCATTGGCCTGCTCCTTGAAGGCAGGGAAGCCTAGAAAATGTGTACCTGGCAGCTGGGACTTGCAACTCCTCTGCTACTGCCCAATGCTATTTTATTAATAAGGACTCTAGCATCTGATTTGTGTGCTCTTTGCAAAGAATCCTGGAACCAGTATCTCATGGATATCCAAGAACCATTGTAATGTAAAAAAAAAGCAATACACAGCTCTTATAAAATAGATGAGAACAAGGTAAAAGCCACTGAAGTTTTGTGCTACTAATTCTGCAAACTGTACAAGCTAAGCCTCCTTGGAACAGAAATCACCCAAAAACAAAAACATTTTGGTGTCAGCTGCCCATTTCCGCCTTTGGAGAAAGAGGCCAGTTACATATCCAGCACCTCATAAGTTCTCCCTTAAGGAGCCCTTGCTCCACCAGTATTGGAAATGTGATGGGAGAAACTTGTGGTGTCAGGACAATAGAAGAGAAGGTGTGACCATCAACATGAGGAAGCACCTTCCACCAACAAAAATGGAAGCATCTTTTTCCTGCCCCTTTCTCCATACATTTCTTTGGACACAATATTTAATGTGCGACATCATCTTCAAAGGGAATATTAAACATGATATATCAGGAATTCAACTTTTTAGTAAACCACCTACAATTTCAATTATCAGATGCATGCTGTAATTTAAAGAGTTCTCAATTAACAGACAAAACACCAGGAAGAAGAAAATCTTAACCAATTGATAATCAAAGGACAGAATCAGTATACAAGTGTGTGATTGGTAGGACTATTCCATCTAATATGTTAGCACAACTGAAAGGGAACAATTAGCACAATTGAAAAGGAACTGCACTATTTGTTTCATAAATATAAAGAAGCAGTATTCTGTTATAAGGAAACATCTTTGCAAGAATATGTTTAACTTTTTAACGTTAATTATGTAATTTCTGCTTTATTAATAGTTCTCTCTTACTGCAACGAATATTAAATATCAATCGCTAAAATATTTGAAACACATGATTCAGTAAACTGTGCTTCAATTACAGTCTATCTCCTTCATGTTTGTTTGTTTTTGAGTCAATTGGGTGACTAATGCAATATAAAACAGCAGAACAGTAAGGCAGCAGATGATGCAGAAATTGGCATCTATCTGAAATTATAAACAAGGTAGATGTACTACATCTGGTAAATATCTTGCTTTCTGCTTGTCAACGAACAAAACAGACATCTTCTTTTAATCTTTACCTTGAAAATATTAAGAGATTCAAGTTTCAAGAGTATTGCTGTGATTTGTTTTTATGATACTTTTCTTGTGTGTGTCTGTTTACAGATTCTTCAAGCATAATGACAGGACAAAAAAGGGAGTGCTGGTGTTATTGCAAGAAATTATGAGCTATACAAAAATGAGGCAGGGCCTGCATAGAGATGTAGTATCAGAACCTTTATAGTTGTGTCATAGGTTTTTTAAATGAAGAAGTGCCTTTAAAAATATACAACCTACAATTTTGCAAGCAAGCCCATTTTTCCAAGGAGTTTGAATTCTGAGAATTTAAAAAAACACAGAGGAGTCTAAATGCAGTGTTTTAGTTCAAAGAAAAGGGATTATTTTAATAGCTATTGTCATGACAGAATACTGCAGCTTTCCAAAATTTGTCTCTAACCCCAACCTCTTTTAAAATCATCACCCATCTCTCCAGATTCTTGCCACCCAGGAGAGTGAAACAAGCTTTAATACCATATCTGGGTAATCTTTCACACACACTGGTTGTAAAGACAGCAACTCCTAGAGAAGAAAAACATTATATTGCTACTATATTATGCGCCACAATTGAAAACACTATACCAAAATAATGTGTGGTAGTTATTAAAACATTTACAGTTTCACATAAAATATTAATTTAATTAAACAGACAATTCTTGAAAGAAAATTCTGTTAGAAGTAGTAAACAAGAATTTGACTGCAATGCATTCTGTTGACCGTAACTGTTCAACAGCAATCGGAAAGACTAGAGAGCCCTAGACATTGTTGGGTCATGTCAAAAAGAGAATAGGGGAGATTTGTGGGCAAGAATCTGGTAACTTATTATAAGTCCCATTGCTATAAAAACTCCATTACTGACAGCCTTTTGATTCTGGAACTTGATATACAGGAGGGGCAAGCAGCACCAGGGCTGGGCAGTCAATCTGATCAAGAAACAACCAACAGCCATCTGATGCAAACACATATCAAAAACAAAAAATGATAAAGAGAAAACCGAGAAGAATACAACCAGTTCTGCAAGTAGAAAATATACCAATATAGAAAGTTAACATCTGTTACTCTTTTATGATAATGCAAGTGGAAAGTGTTACCTAAGAATGCATCCACTAAGCAGCTGATCCCACGCATAGCACGAAAGAATATTTGAGGCAGATGTTTAAGGCAGGGATACTGATTCAATTCCTGAGCCATTCCACTCACATTTAGAAACTGTTCCTGAAATTTGGGGGTAGAACTTATAATTGCTGGATTGCTCAAATCCACAGGATTGCTATAGCAAAGGAAGGGAAAAAATAAAAATTGTAATGTATTTATATATGTTAAAGAATCAATTTATAATATACCAAACATTCCAAAGGAAAGAGTAAATTGGTACTGATGAAGCCTCCTTTAAAGGAGGACTGAAAAAAGTGCAGTCATCTAGGGACATGAAGAACACTGGGATTCCCAGTGCACCAAAAGAAGGAAATATATAAGAAGATATGAGAGTATTGATCCTGCTTTGATAAATGAATACTTGTTAACTGAGATCATTATCTGAACTCAAGAGAACTTAAGCAAGTTATAGCTCAAGAGAATACAGCGGATATGCATATAGATACTACCAACACTGTATTTATTTTTATTTTTTTTGTGCACTGTACCTCAACATATGTAAAAAGCGAAACCAGGTTTGGGCAACACATTCGTTATCCATTTCAGGAGGTATCAGGCTTGCATCTTCATCAGGTATTTTAAAAGGTGGAAATGATGGTCCATATGTAAAACGTAACAATCTGGAGAACAAGTCAGATAATTAGCAGTTTGTAGTTTTATATGGTTTAACACATCTATATTTTAATGGAAACATTTGCTAAATCATTCCCTTACAAATGTGAAGTTAATCAAACGGCAGATATCACATTTACCCTTCCTTCTATTCCTCAAAAAGTCAGTGTAAACTCTTGTATTTTAACACCAAGTATGTTCCTAAAGAGGATATTCCAAAAAAGATTCATAAATATTTTTTCTTGTCACAGATTGCATGGAGACTTTTGGTTAACAACGATTTTGAAGTCTTGCCACACATTCTTAACAGGACAGAGGTCTGGACTTTGACTAAGATGTTGTGGTTTTTTTAATTAAACCGCTTCCGTCTTACTTTGGCCGCGTGTTTAGGATCATTATCCTGTTAGCAGATGAACTTCTAGTTTCAGGTCTCTAGCAAACTGGGGTTTTTCTCTAGAATTCCCATGTACTGGCTCTACATCTCTTTCCTCAGTGCTGACCAGTTTCTTAATATTTACTGAAAAAAAGGCAGTCCTGACATATGGTATTGCCACAATGCTTGGAGATGTTCTCAGGACAATTAACACTGCTTGTTTTTGCACTTTCTAGGAAGAGAAAAGGTTTTGGTGTTATTCAACCAAAGAAAATTATTACACATTTGCTGTGTTTCCCACATGCTTCTTTTGCAAAAGCTAAATAGGTTTATTGATATCAGTCTATTTCAACAATGGCATTCTTGGTGGAACTTTTCCATAAAATCCAGCTTTGTGGAATGTCTAGGTGATTACTGTGCCATGGATGTTGCTTCTCATCTCAACCGAGGGTCTTAACTGAGCTTCAGAATTATGATTGGCCTCTTAGTTGCTCTCCAACTAGCAACCTCCTTCCCCAATCATTCTGTTTGAGCTGATGACCATCTTTAGCCATATTCTTTTCATTATGTAAGAATGGTTTCAGTGGCAGCGGGAGAAGAGAGTTCATAATCTAGCTCTATTGTTTTTCCATAATGTGATCCTGGATTTGTTTTGAGTGAGCTTGGCCTTCGCATGCCTACACTCCTCAGACACTGCAGGACACTTTTACAGTTTTCGAAGTAACTTGCACTATTTTCCCTTTATGCTGAAGCTAGGAGGAATAGTACGTTTTCACCTACCTAGCAGTAAGGGCACAGATGACTTTGCTCCACTGCTCTACTACTGCAGAATGATGCCTCCAGTTTGCTACCATCTCTTTGGCAGTTTTCCAGTAGGGTGGTGTGGGGAAGCAACGGGAACAGGCCAGTAACCAAACTTCAAAGAGCACACCAATCAACTTCTCAGCCAGATTCTCAGCAATACCACCTAGAACAGAAACAAGAAGATACATTGTTTTTCAACCTGTAGGTCCCCAAGTGTGTTGGCCTAGAACTCTCAGAAATCCTAGCCAGTTTACCAGCTGTTAGGATTTCTGGGAGTTGAAAGCCAAAATATCTGGGGACCCACATGTTGAGAACCACTGGTCTAATATAACAGGGCTGTTTCATTCTGATCCAAAATTACAGCACTAATTATTACTATAATACATATTATTCATAATTTTAAGAAAAAGACCAGAAACCAAACATCTATAGTTTTTTCCTAGTCTTATTGAGCTAGAAAAAAATTGCAGCTCAGTCTCTTGCCTGTAAAGTCCCTTCATCTCTTCATCTTTAAATAAACCCCTCTCCACCAGCCTTTCACAAGGTTAAGGCAGGAAGAAAAAATGTGTTGGGTGGTTATTATTGCCAAATACCTTTATCCATCTATATTCAACCCTTTATGCCCACCTTTTTTTTCTGCAGAGCAGAACTAGCCAGTATAAAGATGTGGCAATGTCCAGACCAGTTTGCTCCTGCAAGCTCTCCATGTTTCCCGGACTCTGTTGTTCTCAAATTTTAGATGGAACTGAGCTTGCTAGAGTAGTGATCAACAGTGTTCAACAAGTTCAAAGGTGGAAGGAAGACTGACCACACTTGTCACATTCCCCAGAGGACAATATACTTGCCACAGTGAGCAAAAAGCTTGAAGCTTGGAAATCACTGCTAAAACAAAGTGAGTAAGAGGAGTACCAAGACCTCTGAAAGCAAAATTAAGATGAGAACACGGGCCCCTACTTATATGAGTCTAAAAATAAAAATGCAATACTGTCCCTAAGCTGAACAAAATGTGGTGGGGCAGCATTATAGGAAGAAGGGAGCTTATCACATTTACAGACAATAAAGAAGGAGGGAATGTTAAGAGACCAACCTGGTACTGTTGGAGCTGCCAGCAGAATATCATTAATTTGCAGCAGAAACAATAATAGCACCTCCCATGTTTCTCTAGCCATAGTGGTTGATTCACGAGCCAATTTCTGTACAGCTTTCAAAACTTGCAAACACAATTTAATTTGATTGGAGCTTTGATCCTGCCTGTTCACAAAAAAGTACTTACATGTTCACAATTATAATCTTCAAAAAGTAATAGCAAAGATTAGTTTAGAGGTATTCTTATAGACATTTTACATCTTTAATGGGATTTCACTGAGAGAGAAAAAACTTTAACAAGTAGACCAAGTCTGGACAATCTATGATCTGCTGGGTAGAACACAGCCTACCAGTCTCATGGTGGGTCCAGCATAGGTCTGATATATAATATTGGTATTCACTGTCCTTGGCAGAAATACACTGATGTATCTATAAGTATATAAATTCTTCAAATGCTATATACAGTTTCAATTGTTTTGAAAAAAGGTCCTGTTTCTTCAGCTTTTTATCAGGTTGTCACAATTCTTAGTTATATTAAGAAAGCAGAATTGTATTAAATGATTTATTTTTTCAGGGGCTGTCCCAAGGACAAAATACGAGATATATAATATACTATGTTTTTTGGATAGACACTCTACTAGGCCTGACAGCTTCTTGCTATGTTAGCAAACTCCTGCTAATCGTGATAGTCTTTTAAAGGAATTTTTCTGTTTAAAAAAACCCCTGCTAAACATTTTGTGAAATACACAATCCACCAAATAAGATATGGGCACATAACATTCAGATTATTTCAAAATGAGCTTTTTTTCAACTTTAAAATCTTTTCAACATAGACTGAACACTTTAAGCCCATTTTCCTTGCAACTTCAATTATATATATAAAACAATCTTAGTTTAACCTACCAAAATCTATCTTCTAGATCAGAAAATGATCTATATTCCATATTGATTTAACAGCAAGCTCTTAATAGCATTTCAAAATAACTAAATTAATTAGTTACAGTTAGTGACATACTAGTTATGTCTGAAACTATTGGCTAAAAGTCACACTGCCTACATGGAGCTATCTTCTTACCTTGGTACAAAAAGATTTTGTAGATGTTTGAGAATGCTCTGAACATAAAGATTTGGTTCGTTTATAACAGGTAGAGGAATGGAGTCCTTGGGTAAAACGAGAGCCATAATCCAGTCTGTATATACATCAACACAGTGCTTTACAGTCTCTCCATCTAAAGGAAGGGTCAGTCCATAACAAACCACCTCCATGGTCCATTTCACCTTTGAAATAAAAACCACCATATTAACAAGTCTCTCATTTGGTTGCATCCTCCAAATTAACACCAGTAATACAGTATATATAGTTGCAAGATGTGACAAAGTTGCTGCTGATCCAGAATTGAGGGGAGAATACTCATTATCTATCAAAACCTGACAGTAATGGAGATATAGTGCAATAATGAACGATTTTCTACAATACAAAGAAAGTAATATTTCACCAAAATAATATTCATTTACAGATCCAATCAAACTGAATGGGCTAAAATAAATAATTCAATCAGACATATGAATATCAAGGAATAAGTCTGCTCTTTTTGCTGCAATTTAATCACGCAGAGCCTTTCTCATATGTCACACTTGAGTCCCTTTTGGGGTGAGAAAGGTGAGGTATAAATATGGCAAATAAACAATTAAATGCAATATATGAGGGTGAACCTACACTGTCAAATTGGTGTTTGATATTACGTTAACTACTATGGAATTATGGGAGCCGTAGTTTAACAGGGTTAAGAGTGCAAGTGTCTCACAACTACAGCTTCTTGGATTCCAAAGCAGAGAGTCTGGCAGTTAAAGTGATGTCAAACTGTGATAATTTATACATAGTACAATTTGCATACCCTTCTCCATTATCAAACTGTATTTATTCTACAGCATAGAGCAGGCATGGGCAAACTTCAGCCCTCCAGGTGTTTTGGACTTCTACAATTCCTAACAGCATAGGAATTGTGGGAGTTGAAGTCCAAAACACCTGGAGAGCCAAAGTTTTCCCATGCCCGGCAGATAGATGTACCCTAAGCCATTGACAATCACAACTGAATAAAGTCATAGAATCCAGACCAATCCCCTGCCATGCAGGAACACACAACAAAAGCACTGTCGACAGATGGCCACCCAATATTAGAAGCACGACAAATCTGCCAGGTAAATACGTACTTCTTTGTCAGTTTTCAATGAACTTTCTCCTCCGGTGATCAGGACTTGGCCGAGGGGACGAACCACAGCGTTGGCCACCTCCCTGCCCACGCTCTCTGGGTAGCTGTGAAGTACACTGGTGTGGCCCTTATCATTTTGGATGACAAGATGGAGGGACCTCCACTCTGAGTACATAATGCCTCTAGACTGCAGGACAGCTGGAACCACAAACAAGAGGAACAAAAAAGAAGTGAGAAGGAGTGGTAGATAGTAGGCTGACTCTTCCTTCACAAAAAAATCTAGCAACCACAACTCTGAAGCAACTGGCAAAAATATTGAAGAAATAATGCTAACAATTCAAATAAAATATGTGCATAATAAAACTCTTTTTAAGAGTAACTGAAGCAAGCAGGCATGGGTCAATTTGGGTCTTTCCCTCCAGGTGTTTTGGACTTCAACTCCCAGCATTCCTAACAGCCTCAGGCACCTTCCTTTTCCCTCAGCTGCTGAGGGGGAAAAGGAAGGGGCCTGAGGCTGTTAGGAATGCTGGGAGTTGAAGTCCAAAACACCTGGAGAGAAGGCCCAAGTTGGCCCATGCATGAGCTATCTCAACCTGCTAATTTGCATATGGTTTCTGATTGGCCAGCCTCAACGTTCTACCACTCTGAAGCGGCTGAGGGGGGAAAGGAAGGGGCCTGAGGCTGTGAGGGCCCGGGTTGCCAGGGACGCCCCCGAATCCTTCCCTCGGGAAAGGCCTCCCGAAAAGGACACCTCCCTCCGCAGCCCTTCGGCTCGGCCTCCCCGCCCGAAGACGCAGCACCTCCGCTCCGTTACCTACTCAAGCGCCGCGGGGTCCGCCTGGGCGAGCGCAGCAGACGCCCGCTCTTCCTGCTCCGCCGCCTGACCTCGCGAGGGCTGCGGGCCTGCCATCGCGAGGCTTGGCGAAGGTCTCGAGCTCCGTGAGGTTTTGGGATCTCGGCTCCCGCGAGATTATGATCTCCTCCCCCCTTTTCCCCAAATCTCGGGGAGGGTGGTTTGTTGACAAACTTCGTCCCTTCAGACTTCAGCTTCAATAGAGCCGTAAAGTAGAATTAAACTGCACTCACTCTGCAATGTAGATGCACCCTAAGTTCTTCCACACAGCTATATAACCCAGAATATCAAGGCAGATAATCCATAATATTTGCTTTGAAGTGGGTTATCTGAGGCCCCTTCCACACAGCTGAATAAAATCTTACATTATCTGCTTTGAACTGGAATATATGGCACTGTGGACTCAGATAACCCAGTTCAAAGTAGAAATTGTGGGATTTTCTGCCTTGATACCTAGGGTTTACCCCAGCAAGGCTGGGGTAAAAATTGCTGGAAGTAATATTAACAACCTTAGATATGCAGATGATACCACTTTGATGGCCGAAAGTGATGAGGAGCCGAGGAGAATGGCAGCATGGGGGGGGGGGGGGGGGGCTTGAGGGGCTTCAGGCCCCCCCCCCCCCGAAATTCTCATGGTGGTTCGCGAAAAGGCCTTACTGGTGCATTATTTAAACTGTTATGTTTATTCATATCATGATCTGATCACTATACTCAATATATCCCATATGCATGGGGGTATTGGGGTAACGATACAAAAGGTTTGCTAGGGTAGACCCTCTTTCACTCAGATTCAGCCCCCCCCCCCCCCCGAAACAAAATCCTGGCTACGGGCCTGAATCAAGGTGAAAGAAGAAAGTGCCAAAGTTGAGTTGCAGTTAAACATCCAAAAAACCAAGATTATGGCAACCGGACTGGTTGATAACTGGCAAATAGAGGGAGAAAATATGGAGACAGTGACAGACTTTGTATTTCTAGACGTTAAGATCACTGCAGATGCAGACTGCACACAGGCACTCAGAAGACATTTACTTCTTGGGAGGAGAGCAATAATCAATCTCAATAAAATAGTGAAGAGTAGAGACATCACACTGGCAACAAAGATCCACATAGTTAAAGCAATGGTAGCAATCTATGGATGTGAGAGCTGGACCATAGGGAAGGCTGAGCGAAGGAAGATAGACGCTTTTGAACTGTGGTGCTGGAGGAAAGTTCTGAGAGTGCCTTGGACCACAAGAAAATCAAACCAGTCCATTCTTCAGGAAATAATGCCTGGCTGCTCACTGAAAGGTAGTAGAGGCAAAGATGAAGTACTTTGACCACATAATGAGGAGACAGGATATCTTGGAAAAGATAATGATGCTGAGGGAAATGGAAGGAAAATGGAAGAGGGGCCAACCAAGGGCAAGATGGATGGATGTTGTGGTGTAAGGTGCCTTTAAGACACATCCCCTTGTGAATATAACTGCAGTGTATTTATACTTGAGGCAGTGTTTGAAAAGCAGCTTGTCAGAAAACACTCTGGAGGTAACCTATGCATGAAATAAATTAATACCTTACAAGATACTGGACTCTGTTGGGTTGCAAGTCTGTCCACCAAGGGTTCAACAATGAACATCACAGATGTTATCCTTGAAATGACTATGAGCCCTTCCACACAGCCATACAACCCAGAATATCAAGGCAAAAAATTCCACAATATCTGCTTTGAACTTGGTTCTCCGAGTCCACACTGCCATATATTCCAGTTCAAAGCAGAAAAGGTGGGATTTTATTCAGCTGTGTGGATGGGGCCTCAGTTCAAAGCAGATGTTGTGGGATTTTCTGCCTTGATATTCTGGGTTATATGACTGTGTGGAAAGGCCCTGACTTGACCTTGAAGGAGCTGAGGGTGTCCACAGCATGGGCTGGTCCATGAGGTCACGAAGAGTCGGAAGCGAATGAATGAATAAACACACACAGTTAAAGTGGCATCAAACTGCATTCATTCTGCAATGTAGATGCACTTTAAGTTAGGGCCCTTCCACACGGCCATATAACCAGAATATCAAGGCAGACAATCACAATATCTGCTTTGAACTGGGGTCTTGACTCTTCTGCATTTCCTTATTCCCCTACGCCCCCTTTTCTCACTCAGATACAGAGAGTAGTATAAAGAAAATAAAATCAAAGTAAGAAACCAAGAGGTTCATGCACTACTCTTCACTCAATAATAATAAATTAATAATGAATGAGTTCCACAATAGCTAGCCTTCATTTCTTTAATTGATTCCTTAGTTGGTCTCCTGCTGGATCTGGCATTAAAGGACCTCTTAAAAGAACTGTTCTACCTAATCATGGTAGAGCTCATCTTAGGAGAGTGTGGATCTTTGGCTCCTTTTGAAGCCTGAGTTGGATGAGGTCTTATAAAAGCTTCCTGTTATGAGTGGCTAAGAAGGTCCATACACTGCTTCTTGTGTCTTCCCTCATTTCTTTGCTTACTGTTTACCTATTTATTAAATATCAAGTTCTTTTCCTTGTGCAAGGCACTTTATAGCCAATTTAATAGTATAGTCAAAAGGCAGATATACACAGTTTTAAACGTTATTAGGCAGGAGTTTTAAAAGTCTAACCATTCACATGGAAAAGGAGATAGCTTGTTTTCTTCTGCTCTGGAGACTAGGATACGAAGTAATGGATTCAAAGTGCAGGAAAAGGGATTCCACCTAAACTTTAAGGAGAACTTCCTGACGGTAAGAGATGATTGGTAGAGGAATATGCTGCATCTCAGGGTGGTGGAGTCTCCTCTCTGGATGTGTTGAAACAGAGGCTGGATGGTCATCTGTCAGGGGTGCTTTGATTGTGTTTTCCTGCATGACAGAATGGGGTTGGACTAGATGGCCCTTGTGGTATCTTCCAACTCTATGATTCTATTAAAACACAAAGTTAAAACAGTTTAACATATAAAAGATAAAAGTATAATCCCAATTAAAATCGCCTTTGCTAAATTAATAGTGGCAGAAAGCAAATTAGATCGAAGTTAGATCAGCTCCCTCCCTCTTGGCCTTCAGAAAAAAAGCAAAAACCTGGCTGTGGAACCAAGTATTTGGGCAGTAAGCAGGGCAAAAAATTAACACGGATTATGTGTAATTGTTATTTGATACTGGAATAGCCTGCACCATGCTTTTGGATCATGTGATTTTAATGTGTATATTCATATGTTTTTAATTCCTTGTTTTAATGTTTACATTTAGTTATGTTTTGTGATTTAATTTATAGTTTTATGCTACTGTTTAATGTTAGGTTTTCATGTTTTGTAAGGCATTTCATTTTGCTGTGAATATGCTGGAAACTGCTTTGAATCCCTCCAGGAGTGAGAAAAGCGGTATATAAATGAAGTAAATAAATAGTAAGCAACCTGGGTGCAGTCACCAAGAAGGCTCTTCTGACCTCACAAATGTCTGTGGACTCAGAGAAAGTATTGTCCAAACTGAAAGCTGAAGCAGCTTTGTATAGAAAGAGATGGCCTTTCAGATAGTCTGTATAAAGATTGAAAAGACCTAATCAGTACTTTTAATTCTGTCCAGAAGTGGACTGTACCCAGTGAAGGAATTCCTCTGTCTAGTCTCATCCACCCTGTTTCGTTAACTGGCGTGTCTGCTTCTTTCAGTGGTATTAATAATAATAACTAGAAATCCTATTTAAGATCACTGGAGAGCTGGAAAATAAACTGTAAAAATCCTTTCCTAGATGTAATTCTGAGAGTTCACTTATTTCTCAGTATTAAATCTGAGTGTGGCGACTTTGGCAAAATGATGCTCAGTATGTTATTGTGCATGGACACTTGAGCCCTTCAGGTGAGGGTGACAGGTTAACACAAGAGGAGAAAGTGACATATATAAGGCAGGAGACGATCTTGCCTTCCTCTGAATAATATTGTGCTTTTCACTATAGGTATTATTCAGAGTAGTGACTTCAGTCTTTCTCTATTTTAAACACTAGATGGCACTAGGAACCAAATGGTGTCTGGACTCCAGCCTCTTTGTCCTTTCCCTTTCTCCTTTTTAATCATGACATGTCACTTGAAAGTGGAAAACAGGAAACAGAAAAAAAGGATATATGCAAATCCTGAACTTGTAACCTACATGTAAAGATTTTATTTCCTGTGATTATCCCACAAAATAAACATAACATTGGCCGGAAAAAAAGCAACTAGCACCCCAAAAAAGTTAAACTGCTCAGTAAATAGAATGTACATATAATGTGGCTTTGCCAAGTTCTCAGCTACTCACTTGGCGTACTGTAGTGGAAACTAACAATTAGATTTTGGCCAGTGTTTCAGGTTCAAAATCTCTGCCTCCCTAAATCAGATGGTGGAGATTATACCTGTCTGCAGGTTAAGCACCCACATGGACAAATAATATCGCGGACTTGGATTTCCTACTTTGTATTATTAATGATAATAATTAATCCATGACAACATATTAAAAGCTAAAAACCAGGACACCCCCTTAAAAACCATATCCATTTATCTACAGTTGGCCTGCCATATCCATGGATTCTACAATTTGGTTATACTGGTATATTCTTACTTCTTCTGGTATAGCAAGCATGGGCAAACTTCAGCCCTTCAGATGTTTTGGACTTCAACCGGCTGTTAGGAATTGTGGGAGTTGTCCAAAACACCTGAAGGGCTGAAGTTTGCCCAAGCCTGAGCTATAGTCATACATCTGTCAATTAAATACTACTTTTAATGTATATTGCAAAGTGAGCTCCAAGTTACTGAAGCTTATTTTAAGTACCTGTAGTAGTATTTAAAGTACCACCTGACTTGGATTTGTTTTGCTGCTACAATATTCGTATGGATACCATTTTGGAATTTTTAAATTGAAAGAGTTACTTGTAAAGGACAGCCACTCATCTCTTTTGTACTTTTAATATATGGTAAGCAGAACCAGAAGTTAGTATTCTGTTAAGAACATTCCACATTGTATAACCATTTGGTGATAACAGCTGACATTCTTTCTCCTTTCACTGGTTTGTTTTTAGAAGTGATTTCTTCTAATTATTTAAAAAGCTTAAGTCCCTGAAGGAATC